AAGCTACAGTAGTCTAGAGTGGATTTTGAAGTCGGGAGGCCGCCATCTTTGTGTTTTGGTTTAAGCGACCTCGTGAAATGGATTCTTACCTCTCCTCTTCACTTAAGGGAATATTTTTCTAGATGCTTTATCACATCTCCAATTGGGAAATAATAATAAAAAATTTGCTCTGATACTCCCACCTATGAAAAAAAAATCGTTTCCACGCCTACAATTAGAAAACGAAAAATCGAAGATACGTTCTCACACCCAAGGACTAAAAACTGTACTAGTATTTTATCCTTACTCACACCTCCAATAAGGGAAAAATCCGAAAATTTATATTGCTTGTATACGTTTTCACATCTCCAATTGCAAAAAAAAAAAAATAATGTCAGATACATTTTCATTATTGAAGTCAGAGGAGAAAAAACATCTTGTACGGACCTGTGAAAATATTCGGGTGGCAAGTGGGAGAGGGGGTGGTAGTGGTGGATGTTGACGATGATGGTAATAATGGGCGCTGGTGTTAGTGAATTCTGCTGGTGGTGATAGTGGTATTGGACACTGCTGGTGGTGATAGCGGTAGCGGACTAGTGGTTCCTGCTGGTGGTGATGGTGATAGTGGACACGGCTGATGGTGATAGTGGACACGGTTGATGGTGATTGTGGTAGTGAACACGGCTGATGGTGATAGTGGTTGTGGACACGGCTGATGGTGATAGTGGTAGTGGACACGGCTGAAGGTGATAGTGGTAGTGAACACGGCTGATGGTGATAGTGGTTGTGGACACTGCTGGTGGTGATAGTGGTAGTGAACACGGCTGATGGTGGTGTGGTAATGGACACGGCTGATGGTGATAGTGGTAGTGGACACGGTTGAAGGTGATAGTGGTTATGGACACGGCTGATGGTGATAATGGACACGGTTGATGGTGATTGTGGTAGTGAACACGGCTGATGGTGATAGTGGTTGTGGACACTGCTGGTGGTGGTGGTGGTATAGTGACACGGCTGATGGTGATAGTGGACACGGCTGATGGTGATAGTGGTAGTGGACACGGCTGATGGTGATAGTGGTAGTGGACGGCTGATGGTGATAGTGGTAGTGACACGGCTGATGGTGATAGTGGTAGTGGACACGGCTGATGGTGATAGTGGTAGTGGATACGGCTGATGGTGTTAGTGGACACGGCTGATGGTGATTGTGGTAGTGAACACGGCTGACGGTGATAGTGGCTGATGGTGATAGTGGTGTGGACACGGCTGATGGTGATAGTGGTGGATACGGCTGATGGTGTTAGTGGACGGCTGATGGTGATTGTGGTAGTGAACACGGCTGACGGTGATAGTGGTAGTGACACGGCTGATGGTGATAGTGGTAGTGGGCATGGCTGATGGTGATAGTGGACACGGCTGATGGTGATAGTGGTAGTGGACACGGCTGATGTGATAGTGGTAGTGGACACGGCTGATGGTGATAGTGGTAGTGGATACGGCTGATGGTGATAGTGGACACGGCTGATAGTGATAGTGATAGCTTTCTCACCAACTACAATATAGTATTTTTCCCAGCAGTTTTCATCTTCAATAAATTTAACCGCCTACATTCCCAAACGCTAAACGATTATTTCCTTACATTCTCCCCTGACTTCTAAAATCTCTCTCTGTTTAACATTACGGTATCAGTATGTCACAGCCTTGGTTATATTCGGGTTAGTTATGTTATTAAAGTTTCACATACCGTAACATTATCCTCCGTAGTTTAGAAGTGGTTAATTTTGCGGCATCCAAGTCATGTAATCGTCGGCTTGGGCTGGGTTTTACACACACACACACACACACACAGGCACAACATTTAAATGACGCCATCTTGGTGGATTATCCGAAACACCGAATCATTCATTTACTTAAAAGTGATTCAGGCTCAGGAAAGGCAAACAGACGGACAGACACGCAGTGATAAAAACGACTCTGAAAAAACGGGAGAGGGATGTAACTAAATGATGAAATACAACAACACTTCGATATAAATTCATGTCTTGATGGGGTGATAAATCTTACATAACATTACAACTTACCTTTAAATATAAACACGGTATCAATAAACGCGCGTGTAGGAAACTAATGAATAAGTTCCAAAGTCACTGTTAACAGCTATGGGTGAGTCATAATAGGAATATATTCATCGCCATTTACATGTGGTTTTTCTCTCAAATCTCTAAAAGTTGTCAAGCGCATCTGCTCAACAGGTAGTTAGGTCAAGCGGGGCCGCCACCCGCCACACTTCACCACCGCACCACAACTGCCGCATCTCAGCAGAGTCGGCAGTCAGCCTTCACTAACTGCCCCCCCCCCCAGACTTACAGGGCCCAACATGTCGTACGTTCTTCAACTCTTGTTCTAAGATTTGCATTACTGTTTTAATCACCTTTACGGCTGTGTTTTATTAGTGAAGTATTTATATTTGTATGAATTTGATTACCATTAAATGCAAGATACATACAATACACAAGGGTAAGCATTTAACGCCATTTTGATCGTGATCTCCCTACGGTAATGATCTAACACTGCTTGTTAAACTGGGGAATGGCACACCCAAGGGTGAGTTAAATACTTAAATTGTTGTTGGGGTGTATGGAATTTGAGGAGTGTATGAAAGGTCAATTAGTTAAACTAGATTAAATTTTGAATGTATATATTTTTTCTTGTAAAAATACAAAGAAGGAATCGCCTGAAGAATCTCCACCCCAGCTTATTTCACTTAAATATTGACCATCCTAATACTATTTGGAGGGATGTTAGGTTAGCGTTAGGGGGGTTAATCTTTAGGTGAAATAAGCTGGGGTAGAAATTCTTCAGGTGATCCAAATGAAACACTGAAGATGCTTGTCATTCCCTGATTTCAGTTTTGTTCGGGTGGTAAAAAAAATATTCCTGTCTTTTCGAACGATGTAACGTCATTCATGTATAAGTGAACAGTATATACAGAGAATGGAAAATGGAAATTAACAAATCATAAGGTAGTGAAATCAGGGGTAAATGATATTTTTTAATAATAATTGAAGCGCGAATGCCGTTGAAAAGGTTTCCGAAGCGCTGATCTAACATCACTAGATAGGAGAAAATTGATTGTTTGGGATTCCAAACTATTTTGTATCCATTAGTAGCTAAAAGACACCTGTACACACACACACCTTCATACTATTAACATCTCCTGTACACACATACATTATGTAAGTCTCCTGTACACATTCATAGTAGTAGTAGTAGTAGTTTATTGACAAAAGTATAAATATATGGTAAATATATAAAAATAATTCAAAATACATTTGTCCAACAAAATATTTTAAACCAAAACAACATGTAAGGGCCAATTTCAAAATTATAGATTCCTAGTACCTCATGTACATAATTACACAATTCAGGCACATATACACTTTCATTTAAGAGTTCACTGATACTGGAGAAAGTCAGCATTAGATACCTTTCACGACAATGTGCAGAGAGGGTACAATCGATCAGCACATGTCGTTCACTGTGTACACAACTGTCGTCTCACTGACTACATAATTGTCATAATACTTCCTTCAGATAAAGGTACAGTATATATTATCAGGTGCCATTAAGAGAGCTCAGGCTCTAAATTGGCTCAGCCATGCCAATATTTTTATTATTATCGACTTGTGTATCTTTATTTTTTATGGATAAATAAACTGTTTCAATATCAATATCAAGAGTAATCAACATGACGCCACTATTGTCTCCGTTGCAAAGAAAAAATATCTACAGTATTTCATTTCACTTATGACCCGTACCTGTGTCACTACTGTGATGAAGCCTGAGAATATAAATTAAGGGAAATATAGTACATAATTAAATAGTGTACAGTACTCATTACATAGATCAGGTCAAGTAAAAAGTAAATCAATTAAAAAGCCCTTGATATTTCATACGTCCGCCCTCGCTGCACCACGACGCTGCCAATGACGCCTGTTGAATGCCGCCCACGAGGATGCGACCAACGGCCAACTTAATTATTTGTGCCATAAAATAAAGACTTTATAAGACTTCTAAGAAATGTGGCTGAAGGATGGACCATCCCGGAACTGAAACTTAATATAAGTGGAACACCAAGAAAAGTCCACTACCCCCGAGGGTGCACTGTAAATGAGATAATAAAATATTATCTTTGTCGTAACACAACAAAAAACACTAATAAATAAATAATTAACAGTTATAACAGGACTCTACCTTAATTATAAGTTTTCTTAACAATGGCTAAGAGATAAAATCAACGTACAGAATCAGTTAAACAAATATTCACTATAATACGGAAAATAAACAGTATTCCCAAAATCTTAGTAAAATCTTTAATTCTTCGATGACTCATATTTGTGACCTGGACACCTGTATTAATTAACTCATCTTCACCTGAAAAGCCTTATTAATCAACCCAACCTAACCTAAACACCTGTATTAAATACCTCAACCTGAAAACCTGTATTAAATAACCCAACCTGAACACTTGTATTAAATAAATCATCTTAACTTGAACACCTGTATTAAATGACTCAACCGAACTTATATTAAATAACTCAAGCTAACCTGAACACTTGTATTAAGAAATTTTAAATATGTTACTTGCATTTTCATATTTCAATTACAAAATAATTATCATTGTTTTTGTTTAAAAATTATGACACTGACTGGTTTACTTGTAGAGTTTTTAAACTGAGGGAAGGTCAGGGAAACACAGGTGAGAGAAGACACATGAGATATAGGTAAGGGGGACACAGGTGAGAGAAGACACATAAGAAACGGGCGAGGGGAGACACAGGTAAGGGAAAACACATGAGATACAGGTGAAGGGAGACACTTAAGATATAGGTGAGGGGAGACACGTGAGAGACACAAGTGAGGGAAGACACGTGAGATACAGGTGAAGGGAGACACCTGAGATATAGGTAAGGGGAGACACGTGAGAGACACAGGTGAGGGAAGACACATGAGATACAGGTGAAGGGAGACACCTGAGATATAGGTAAGGGGAGACACGTAAGAGACACAAGTGAGGGAAGACACATGAGATACAGGTGAAGGGAGAGAGACACAGGTGAGGGAAGACACATGAGATACAGGTGAAGGGAGACACCTGAGATATAGGTAAGGGGAGACACGTAAGAGACACAAGTGAGGGAAGACACATGAGATACAGGTGAAGGGAGACAGACACCACAGGTGAGGAGACACATAGGATACAGGTGAAGGGAGACACCTGAGATATAGGTAAGGGGAGACACGTAAGAGACACAAGTGAGGGAAGACACATGAGATACAGGTACAGACATGTGAAGGGAGACACACTGAGATATAGGTAAGGGGAGACACGTAAGAGACACAAGTGAGGGAAGACACATGAGATACAGGTGAAGGGAGACACCTGAGATATAGGTAAGGGGAGACACGTAAGAGACACAGGTGAGGGAAGACACGTGATATACATGTGAAGGGAGACACAGGTGAGGGGAGACAAAAGACAGTTTTTCTACCACCTACAAGAGGATTGTTGCAGAGTTGGAGATTACACGTACTGCCCCCCCCCCCTTCTCTATCTATATATCCTTTTACCTTTCTGTCTCTCTGTCTGCCTCTCACTCTTTCTGTAACACAACCAATGTGACTTATTAAATATTACATTAAGTTTATATATATATATATATATATATATATATATATATATATATATATATATATATATATATATATATATATATATATATATATATATATATATATATATATGTGTGTGTGTGTGTGTGTGTGTGTTTACACAGTGAAAATGTAAAACAATCGTATAAAGCTTCAAATTATATACACAGGTAGGCTGTTCCTGTTAGTTTACAGTAGTTTGTTTCTACAGTTCCAGCACCAAGCTTTCTTCCTTCTCACCAGCCAGGACACGAGTCCACAAGTGTTTCGCCTCATATAGTTAACAAAATACAAAGTAAGAGTTAAAAGACTTAACAGTTCATTCTCAGTCTTCAAAGGCATTCGTTTTCTTATTGTTTTGGTTTGCCCATACAACCGCTCCACCGCAGTTCCAGCGGCAATAGTACTCCCATCAGGTGAACACATTTCTTTAAAAAGTGCGGATAAAACCACAGCCGCTAGTGCTAGCTGAAAGCGAAAAATGCTGGTGCACACCACAGTTCATGCACCTTTAACGTTTCAGCCATACATGTTATGCTCGACCACTAAAATGTTCAACAGCATCACATTACATGAAATTGATGTAAATTAGTGGTACGCATTATATGTAATCAATACGCATGCTGTCATAAAATATTCAGTGAAATGAGTGCTGGAAACAGTTTTGTTTTTAACTTTTCAGTAATTACGTATTATATTTCCTGTTTTATTTGCCTGAATATAACAAGACTGCATAATCATTAATTCCCAGGCACATTACTGTAGCAGCAGTGTGGTTCTGTAATTTGGGCCATCTGTTATGGCTGTGAATAAGAACTTTTCACCAGCTCATACGCCAGCACATATGTTCGCCTCATACGCCAGCACATATGTTCACCAAAGTCATTGTACAGTACAGTATATTCATACCAAGAGATATTAGGGTCAATTGCCAAACTTGAACAATAATTATACGGAGGGACGTATATCTTTCATAATTACAAAATGTTGAACATTGGTGTACGGTATAACACGAATTTTGTATGAGCTTGAAGACGATAGTTGACAATGCACAGTAATACATTGCAAAATTAACTTGATACTACCAAAGCTCACTACGACACATAACATTTTCTATGACCCTCTTCTCCACAAACCCACAGATGAAAATAATTTACTTCCATAAACAAAGGACCGAAGCGTGTGTTGCTGCTGTTGCATACATGAGATAATAAATAAAGTCAGTGAACAAGAGTTACCCAAGAAATGGGAACGCGATGTCTCTATTGTTCAACGTGGTATCAAAACAATCTAAACTATTTCCATCTTCGCGTGCATTTTAATAACCATATTATCAAATACAATATTCATATGAAAAACTCTGAGCCTGTGGATACTGGGTTCTGCTGCATCAGACGATAATTGTTTTGAAAAGCCTAACGGTATACAAGCACAAGCCATACGAAAGCAATCAAATATCAGCATCCATTATATAGCATAAATACTACTTGTTAAATATTCACAATAATTTAACTGCAATGCCTCACCGATTTATTGCGTTTACAGTATATTAATAAGTACCCACATTTACGTCGGAATTCTCATGAACTGTTAGGCTTCTTGACCCAATTAAACATAAGTGACGTGTTGCCAACCATGGGGAATTATCCCCAGATTTAGGGAATCTGAGGCTCAAATGGGATAATCAACGGTCAATTTGGGGAATTGTGGCAGGGAGGAGGAATATTTGATGCAGTTACCCATAAAAATTTATTTGCTGAAACTGAATACATTGTTCATTTTTTAATTTTTCTGAATTTATGAACTAATTCCTACCCAGAAAATTAAACATTTTTTTCATGTCATATAGTATCTGTACAAATAAGACGTGGGTTAGGTCAAACGATGAGCAGGACAGGAGGATGTATGCAAGAGCCAGGAACCAAGCAAAGTCAGATTGTAGAAGGGCTGAAAATGAGTTTCAGAGGCTGGTTGCAAGCGAGGTCAAGTCAAACCCAAAGGCGTTTTACGGCTATGCAAAGTTGAAATTAAAAACACTAGTCGGAATATCAGACCTGTGGCTTGAAGATGGTACAGTACTTATGCAGATTCTGACCAGGATAAAGCTGAAGCATTGAACAGCTTTTTTTTCTCGGTGTTCGCAAGCGAGGATGCGATCAAACTTACTGCATTTGAGGACAGACGGTTCGACACAGCACTGACCCACATTGTGTTTACAGAAGAGGGTATTAGAAATAAACTGTCCAGGCTAAAGGTTCATAAGAGTCCCGGCCCTGACATGGTACATCCTAAAGTGCTAAGAGAGTTGTACAACGAGCTTGCCGAGCCCCTGAAGATCCTGTTTTGTAAATGCCTGGATGAACAAATGGTCCCCAGTGAATGGAAAGTGGCTTATGTGAGTCCTATCTTCAAGAAGGGCGATCGTCACTCCACGAACAACTATACTGTAGACCGGTGAGCCTGACCAGCATAATATGTAAAGTACTTGAGAGTATTATCAGAGATGCCGCAATGGAACATCTAATACGAAACAACCTTATAAAGGATTGCCAACACGGTTTTATGCCGGGGCGCTCCTGCTTAACACAACTGCTCAAGGTATTAGATATTTGGACCCATATTCTGGAACGGGGTGGTAATATCGACAATATTTACCTAGATTTTGCCAAGGCTTTCGCACTGTACCCCATGAAAGGCTGAAAATCAAACTGGAAGGGTACGGAATTCGGGGAAATGTCCTAGCGTGGATCGAAGACTTTCCACATGACCACAAGCAGTCTGTGGTGATTAATGGCACGAAATCGTCATCCGTACCTGTCACAAGTGGGACAGGGCAGTGTATTGGGCCCACTGTTGTCTGTTTGTTTCATAAAAGACATGCCTGACGTTGTACACTCCTCCATACAAATGTTTGCCAATGACGCCAAGTTATTTCTGGAAATTAAGAACCAAGAGGACTGTGAAGGGCTGCAGAAGGACCTCTGTGGGCTCCAGGAATGGTCGAAGAAATGGCTGCTGAGATTCAATGTCACGAAGTGTAAGAGGATGCACCTGGGGCGTACCAACGATAAGGAGGCGTATCATATGTCCCAACGGGATGAAGAAACTGCATTAGTTGAGACTGAATGTGAGAAGGACCTAGGTGTGTATGTTGACAATGAGCTGAAGTTCTCGGGCCATTGTGAGAAGGTACAGGCAAATAAATTATTGGGTCATATAAGAAGGTTGTTCAGATATCTAGACGGTCCGTCCCTCGTAACGATCTTCAAGAGTGAAGTGCTTCCCCATCTGGAGTACTGTCACCCTGTCTGGTCCCCGAGATATGCTAGGGACTGTCAGTTAGTTGGTTGAAAATGTTCAAAGGAGGGCCACCAGACTGGTACCTGCACTTCGGCACCTCAGCTACCCTGAGAGATTAGAGCGCCTGAACTTGCCTAGCTTATACTACAGACGGGAAAGGGGTGACCTAGTTGAGGTGTATAAGCATCTGAGGGGGCACTACTCAGTCCAGTGTCCTTACTTGGAGCTGGCGGACGCTCGCCCCACAAGGGGTCACAGCTCAAGATTGAAGAAGCCGCAAGTCCAGAAAACCGTGAGGGCAAACTTTTTCGGAGTGAGGGTTGTAAACTCTTGGAACAATCTACCAGAGAGTGTTGTGACGGCACCGAGTGTGAGCTCTTTCAAGACAAGACTTGACCAACACTGGAGCGGGTTCAGGTACATTCAGGAGCCGGTGCATGCCCAGTACTTGCCAACAGTGCGTGACAGAGACGTGACCGATCGCCCAAGCGGTTAACGAGCCGAAATGCTGAAAATTGTCATAATATCCTTGAGCTATACACATTTTTTTTGTGTGAAATCAACATTGGTATGATGTATACTGTGAAATATCAACCTATAATGCATAAGACTCGGGAAAAATTATGACAACCTCGAATGATACAGATAAAGCCATATTGACGCTTCCAGACTCAGCGTGACACAGTGACACATTGCAAAACGCTGGCGACATCTTCCAAAAGAAAAGTTACTAATTACATTTCACCAGTTGTGATCCACAATTATTTTTATTATTATCGTCAACCCTGGTACTTTAACCAGAATTAATTAAGGCTAGGCAAGACAAGTACGAAAATGTAACTTATTAAACTAAGAACTGTAGCCAATATGAATCAGCCAGGATCTAACAATAAACAATACACGGTAAAATTATACTTTCACCCAACCATGGAATTTGATCTTTGCAATCAATAGTTTAGACAATTCTAAGACACTTCTTCTTTGACGTTTCCCTCGCAAATTACCTAAAAATGGACTAACCTAACCTAAACTCTCTGGACCCCCGGTATACATAAGTCATTTGTGAGGGAAATTTCAAAGAAGAAAAGTGTCTTAGAATTGTCTAAACTATTGATTGCAAAGATCAAATTCCATGGTTGGGTGAAAGTAAACAATACACAAGGAAACTGTTATTGGGGAATGTCTCACATGTCACAAACAAATTAATTAGTGCTGTATATACTGTAGGTCTAGGAAAAATACCAATGGTGATATTACTGTGCTCCAACAACTAGGATTTTGAAGCAGGAATAAGGTGACCCACAATTGTCATCAGAAGGCAAGAAGAGAATAAAGATGCCTACAAGGGTGTAGTAGACATTACTTCACCACTGATCGGCTCGTTAGCCGCTTGGGCTTGCCAAAACTGTGTAAGATTTAAAGTATTCACAGTACATATTAATAAAATAAAATTACTCTCTTACCTGTTTTATTCATCTTGTTCCTCAGTGCATTTTTCTTCTTGACATGGGATCGGAAGAGTATAAACTTTCGCTTGACTTCACCTACATCCATCTCGAATCGCGAGCTGTAGTAACAGGGCTGTTGAGATGTCCTACTCTTGTTTACCGAACACGCTGATTGGTTCAGCTGTTCGCGTTGTGATTGGTTGCGAGAACATGACGTAATATTACGATTTCTATAATAGAAAGACAATTGTGTGGTGAGAGGTAACGAAGATCCCAGATACAGTAATTATATTAGAGTAGTCCTTATACTCAGTGAATTTCATTGTTCCTGTCATTAGTTTTATAAATTTCTGAATAATAAACACTGCATTATACACCATTCAGTGTTTTATATGAGATCACATTAGATTTGTATTACTTTAGTTCTGCTAAAATATCGCTAGTAAAATGTAGGTAAGGTAATTAAATACACCTACAATTTATTTCTGTGTATTCTATATGGTATTTTAGCCATGAAAAAGCATATTTCCTAAAGTCGGTAATTTACCGAGTAGGCGCAGTGACGTCACGGCTTACTGACTACGTCATCAAGTTCTGGCGGTTTACCGATTAGCAGACGAATTACCGGATGTGAACCAATCAGCGTGTGGTAAATGCTGCCTTTAAATACTGTAAACCAGAGAGAGAAGATTGATTTATAAACTGAAGTACCACCATGGCAAAATTATTATTATTATTAATATTGCAGTATTATCAATATTATTGTTATTCATCTTTCAATAAGTATATAGATACTCCCTTTAGAAACCTTTACTCTACAATGTATATTTGATATACGCCTATAGTGCCCCGCCCCCGTTAAAACATATCGAGGCCATTGACTGGGAGACACGATACTGTAAATATTTTTGAGTCTCTGGATTCCGTCCCTCGATCAATTGGGAAGAGGATAAAATAAAGTAAAACTGGTGTATCTTGCCTATAACTGGTATGCCCTGTATCACTCGTTGAGATTGTTTGGGTCATGCAGTGTTCGATCAAAAGATTAAGACATTAGATTAAATCCTAACCTAATCTTTTATGCCTCAATCTTTCAATAAAGTCTTGATTGGACTGCGCATGCTCTGAACATTTTCAGTTTGGTTCAATTTCAGCCCATTTTGAACAAGTAAAATTATTAGTAATTTTATTAGTTAAAAGTGCTGGAAAAATATTCTTTTCCGACGGAAATTCAAAAATAAATAAATTTTTTTTCTCATTCTTCCTATAAAACTCAAGATGTTATTATCGTTTTGGTTATTCAGGGAATGGTGTCTGATGTTTTAACAACTTCCAAATAGGTGGAATATAGGCAGGTGTTGGCAACTACTGAATATTGACCTCACTTTTTTTACCCTGTACTAAGCCACTGCCTCCTTATCAGCACTTTTGCATTTTGTGAACAGTAGAAGGTATTTCTTATTTAAACCAGTTAGCAGTTTAATAAAAAAATTTCGGTACTACTGTAGCATGTAGTGTAAAAGATATCTTTAGTCTAACCTAACCTAACCTCAATATCTTGTAGACTGTAACACTGTAGCAGTACCAAATTTTCAATACAGTAATCGGTGGTTCATTCCAGCAAAAATCAATCACGTGATGGTTTAATACATGCATGATGAGCGCCCAAGTGGAGTTCACGTGGATGGAGAGAACAATAATCATCCAAACACAGCAGCTATGGAGTATGGCGGTCGAGTGGATGCAGCTCTCGTCTCCCGTTTAATAGTTTTTTAATTTTTTTTATCCTGGGCATTCCCAGTTCACCCAGCTGTAAATAGGTACTGAGTTTACTTGGAGAAGTGCAGCACCGGCCTTGCTGTATCTACTCTGTCCCTAACAGGCAGTCATGACTATGGGACCTACTTTCACATAGTGGGTGGTTTTAGATTGTAAATTACTGTACGTTTAAGTGAAACTTACATGACCACATATATCAGATCACCAGATGATTAACCTCCCTAATGCTAACCTAATTTAGCTTAATCTTACCTAACTTATCAATTTAACCAATAAACAAACCACCCTAATTCTAACCTAACTTGTACTGTAGGTGTACTGTAATTTTTTGGAGCTGTATCAGCTCTGTTCACTCCATTTAATATCCTTAATTTTAGTTTTAAATCTATTAATGTAACTTACCAATACAGTACAGTTCTTGTTTTCTGTCAACAGATTGTAACTTTGTGCAGCATGATGGATACAAACACTACACCTCAGAAGACTTCAGTGCCTTTGCATATTGTATCTCCACTTATATCCAGCACAACTTTGTCTAAACATTGTGGGCGACAAGTTCTTCTAAAGCTTGATAACACTCAGCCTTCAGGATCCTTCAAGATTCGAGGGATAGGAAATTTAATCCAAAAAGTAAGATGCTACTGAATTTCTGAAGTTAAAACTGTTGAAATTTTTATGGACTCATTAAAAATAGATTCTTACTGTATTGGAAGTTGAATGCAATTTATTCAAATAAGATTTATTTATTATGGGAATAATGATAGTCAATGATCGAAATTTAATAAAATTACCAAAATTTGATTAAACAGCAGTACAGTACTGTACTGAATTGTTAAACAAACTATATGTATAATATTGTGAACTTAGGGACATAAGTACACCATAGGTGTGATGGCTTGGTACTGTATGTACTATAGACCATTAGGGAAATGTTTGTAAAGTCAGACATGCGGTAAAGAATTTAAAAATTATGTCATAACTATGGTACAGTATTTAAAAGTGACTGAAGGGGTCAGGCTGATGTGTGTAAAAATTATCAGACCAGCCAAGGTTTGCCTTATAAATGTTTTGATGGCTAGAGATGAGAAAAAGGGTTTGATTTAAGGAACATTTTAACTAGAGAAATATTCACACACATGTAGTTCTGTAGTGCCGAGACAAAATTTTGCATAAATGACAATACTGTACAGTACAGTACTGTACAGTAGTAGTACAATACTTGTAAATAGCAAGTGATATGTTTCATTTATCTGTTTATCTGTTAACATAATTAAATTTTTAAGTGAATGAGTTAAAACAGGTGCATGTTGTACAGTAGTGTACTGCAAAAAATGAGTACAATGTGGTAGAAGAAATTATGAAAAAAAAAATTGTTTTGGGAAGATGGGTTAAACTGGACAATTATTTTTTTTTATAAAATCGACAAAAAGCTTTAGCTTAATTCTATGTACAGTATTGTATTAAAACAAACTTTATTTTAGGGCATTGAGAAAGGTTATGACCATGTTGTTACATCATCTGGAGGAAACGCAGGGATGGCTGCTGCTTATGCTTCTCGGAAGATGGGAATACCAGCAACAGTTGTCATCCCAGAGTCTACACCAAAGTTCATGATTTCTCAGCTACAACAAGAGAATGCAGATGTTATTGTAAGTTGCTTGCTGACTCTTGAACCCATCATAAATCATGGAAAACAGTGTAATAACTAACTTTTAGATATGCCCAGTAACTTGTGCCATCTTGATGGTCCGGTCTTCACAGAAGGAAAATAATATAAATGATTTAAATATTGTGTCAAGTATCATATTCAAGGGAATTGGTCATTGTATTTAAGGGTTAAGACCTTACAGTCATGGGATAAAGGCATTTCACTAATTGGACTAATCTCATGTATAGTACTCAAGGGGTAAAGTCATTTAATCACTAAGCTGACTCATTGTGTTGGAGTGAAATAATTAACAACCTTATCATCATCATACAGGGTATTCATTATTTGGTCATTTTTCACACTTGCAACCACCATAGTCTTTTTCATTGTTCTCAGGGAGTTGGCATTGTGCTCAAGAGATTATTGAACATTGTAATTAGATTTTTTTTTTTTTTGTGTGTTTGTACAGGTACATGGTCCTGTATGGAATGTTGCTCATGAGAAAGCTGAAGAACTTGCCCAAAATGAAACTTGTTGTTTAGTGCATCCATTTGATCATCCTGATATATGGTAAGAACATGTATTGTGAACTATTAAACCTCTTTTTGTTTGTACAGGTATTTATTCATTAATATCCATGTATTGTAACTATGAATATGATAATACTGATCAACACATTCACTTCAATCTCCCAAGAGTTGGCTGCATCTTTCTTTCTACAGTACTACCTTCTCGTATCTTTCCAATCCACTTTGAGCTCTGCCTCTTTAAAAATCAATTCTATGCCGTCTCAAAAATACCTTAAGAATATTTCCTTTTATTTCCTCCTATAATGAGGATACTTGTCCATGACTGGAACCTTACTCGTAAAACAATAAAAAAAGACATTACCATGCCATTTATAATACTATTTATAAATAAAAAGTTCTCTGCTTCACTTGTTACAACTATACTGCAATTGGTCTTCACCAGTTTCTTACATGCACCAAAAAGTGATTTTTTTTCTTTTATTTGCTTAGTCATAAAACTCTTAGAATCCATTTTGTAGTAAATTAATTATTTTTCATCTTAGGGAAGGACATAGTACTTTAGTAAATGAAATACTGGAACAAAGCCCTGAGAAACCAGCTGCTATTGTTGTGTCTGTGGGTGGTGGCGGACTCCTGTGTGGCATCATGAAAGGCCTCCATGAAAATAGTAAGGGATTAAGCTGTCTATAACCTATTTATTGTCTACTGTCTTGGCTAACCAATTAAAAAATAATATAAAATTAAAATAGGTACTGTAACAATAGAATGTATACAAGGAGTGAAAATAATACCTGTAGTTGATAAGGAGAAGTGTGGAGGTATTATACTGTACTGTGAAACTGATAGATATTTGAGGAGTAACACGTAGAGGAAATCATAAAATAAGGAAAATTCTTTGCAGTATTAATAAATCTTGCACAATGAATCGGTTTGAAATTTTATAAGTCTTTGTTGATGCCAAAATTCACTTTGAATGTTCTGCCTCTAAGTTGAGTTGTGAGCAATTGTGCCCAAGCATTTCTATTTGTTCTTGCCCTTTCCTGCTACTTTCTCTACGTCCACTTGTGTTGCATTATTCTCCCCGTTTTTTCATTTGTTGTCTTTACCATACCTTCTCATGTCTTAACAGATGTTGCAGATATCTCAGTGGTAGCTATGGAAACTGATGGTGCTCATTCCTTAAATGCAGCTTTAAAAGAAGGGAAGCCAGTGTCTATTGGTGATATCACTAGGTAAGAATGAGGATTTGTTTTGCTCACAGTTATAGAATTACAAACTTGTCTCTTTGAGAGACCTGTTCAGCTCCAGCTGTAAGCTACTTGCTGCTGTAGGTTAATAACACACAACCTCCTCCTTCCCTCTTCTGTACTAGCTTTTTTTGTTATCTTGCAGGTCACATATCTTTTGAACTGTAGGCCATAAAATAAAATATTGAAATTTTTATCCAAGTTTATGTATCAGAAGCGATAAATGACCTGGAATTCCTCCCTTGTCCCTTGATGAGTTGTCTTATCAGTAGGAAAATGTGGGAATGATGTTTTAGATAGATGTTGAATATAGGGAGTTATGTTATATTTAAAATGTTTCAGCATTGCTAAGACATTGGGTTCATTGATTGTGGCTCAGGGAGTGTTTGACCTTAAGCAGGACATCCAGTTGTCATCTCATGTCATTTCTGACAAACAAGCTGTAGAAGCTTGTTCCAAATTTATAGGTAAGTACATACTGTACTGTTGTTTTTCTTCAACTTTTTCCTCTGATATAGAAAAATGTTTTGATGCATAAACAAAAAGTGTCTTTTTTATTTGTCTGCCAAAGAGTTTTCTGTTTGATGAGTGAAAAGTTACTTCATGTTTACATGTGTTTTAGTCACCTAGAGCAACAATTTTCATTCCCTTACCAAATACATTTTAGTTTTAATTTTGTCACTAACCATAGAATCCAAACTGATCAGTACTCATGAGACAAATGGTTGGTTATACTCCCAGACATGAGTATATTTTGAGTAAATGTGCCTCACTCCATTAATTATTTATTCCTTACAGCATTTGCAGTGCTAGATTACCCAATAGGCACAGTAAGCATGTGCCTAGGGGCCCCAAGGTTAGAGGGACCCAGTAGATTTGACTGTTTATATTCAGCATTACTGAAAGCAAAAAGAAGAAATAAATAAATAATACAAAGATTAAAAAAATATCGCATGCTCCACAAAAAAATCTCTGTTTATACCACGATTCAAACTTTCAAAGGACTGGGTGCCCCCAGGTGCCACTATGTACAGTACACATACAGGTTTGTTTATGTGAATCATTCACATCATATCACACGTCCACACCTCCCACATGGCTCTCGCTTCCTCCATTATTTCCATTTGGTCCTTCATGTAGTAGGTAAGTTATGCATAGCTACACCAAATGTTACAATCAGTGTCATATCTCTCATAATTATGGTGTTTGATGACTAGTACCACACTTCTTCCTGACTTCCACAGTTTCGCATTTTCACAGATATCACCAATGCTTAGCGTGTCAATACAGTAGTGTGTTCGCTGATCTAACAACACGAACTCGCAGATAAGTCTGGCAGTACGCAAAAAAAAGTTGATATCTGTCTAACCTAGGCATCATGTTCATACCATACAAATCTATGTTGCATGAAATAATCTCCAACAAAACATTTGGTTACATAATTATACATCAATTTTTTGTCTTGATCAGTTAAAAGAAGAAAAGAAGTAGGACTGACTTTAGGATTTGTAGCTTTGGTTCGTGTGGAAAATAAACCATTTTTTTCAATTGATATGTGGAAGCTACCACACTTTTTTTATACATCAAATCATAATAGGCAAAACTAGAATTTATACCTAATAGAAAGAAAGCAATATTAATGGCTTACTCTTATAAATAAAAATTAACATGTAAAAAAAAAAAAGGTATACAGTATAACTATGGATCATTCGAGTCACTTAATGTACTGTAATGAGAAAAATTCTTTCAGATCAATGCTACCCAAATGTTACTATATGTACTGTACTATAGCCCTATGAATACTTTACTTTTTTCTTTTTAGTTTGTGAAGGAGAACAATCATTCTCCAAATTAGTCACAATTAAAAAAAGAATAGTGGACCACAATGAACCAAGAATGGCTGAATTCTTTGAGTGTATGTGTAACTGAATATAGCCTTGATAGAAGCCTGGAACTGACAGACATTATTGCTCAGTATGCTGCTAAAAAGGCATGCCAAGGTACATTGTAAATAAAATAATAAAACCATAGCATTCTACAAAGAAGAACCAAAGTCGATGAAGTACTTTTTAATGTGAGAATATGTCGTAATACCCATTTCATATGATCTCAGAATGTCCCTGAAATAGGTCAGATTTAAAAAATTTCTCGAGGTGAGGGGGTTATAGCCCAGGAGCCCCAGAGGGTCTTAATCTGGCATCGAGCATATGCGGAAATTTTTTTATTTAATTTATGTTATATTCCAGATGAACATCGTATGCTTGTGGAACCTGCATGTGGAGCAGCATTAGCAGCTGGATATTCTGGCATCATCCAAGAACTAATATCAAAAGACATCATCCACAAAGATGGACCAATTATATTTGTTGTATGTGGTGGTAATGTTGTGACTCTGGAGTTACTAAAGATTTGGATGAATCAGTTTAAGTAAACAAGCCACATAGTTCAAGTTTTGTCGGGAATTCTTTGTCAGGACATAGTTGTTATGTATGTATTTCTACTTTATTTTATTTATGTATATTTTATGGTATTTTATTTTTTTGTATTTAGTTTTTCCATCAACCTTTAGGAGTAACTGACTTACTATAAATATTGTTTGAATGGATGTTAAAATATTTTTATATACCTATACTGTGTATATGGAATGCAAAAATTATTGTAATTTCTGAGTACAGTACAGTATAATTCGATGCCTGTACTTCTTCCTTCAATCTTTGTAAGCATTGACCAGCATGTATTGATCAAGTTCAAAATATATATCTATTCTGTATGTACAATATATATTTATATACATACAATATTATATACAGCAACACATGTGAACATGAAATAACTTTTCACTCATCAAACAGAAAACTCTTTGGCAGACACTAATAAAAAATAGACTTTTTGTTTATGCATCAAAACATTTTTCTATATCAGAGGAAAGAGTTGAAGAAAAACTACAGTACAGTATGTACTTACCTATAAATTTGAAACAAGCTTCTACAGCTTTTGTCAGAAATGACATGAGATGACAACTGGAGCTGAACAGGTCTCTCAAAGGGACAAGTTTGTAATTCTATAACTGTGAGCAAAACAAATCCTCATACTTACCTAGTGATATCACCAATAGACACTGGCTTCCTTTCTTTTAAAGCTGCATTTAAGGAATGAGCACCATCAGTTTCCATAGCTACCACTGAGATATCTGCAACATCTGTTGAGACATGAGAAGGTATGGTAAAGACAACTGACCAGAGATACAAACTGACGCCTTTGTGGGCGAGTCAAGTGGCTGATTGGCGCACCAAAAACTAGTTTCCTGTACTGCAATTATGTTAAATAAGTGTTAAAATAAAATAAAAAATATATACAAAACTTGGAAAATAATTGAATAGTACAACCTTCTTGATATTTACTCAAATGGGAACGAATTTAAGCCCTAGAACAGATTTCTGTATTGGCGGACTAATATTCCAGCTGGTGAGGAAGCGAAAACATGTTGACACGATTTCATTAATTGAATTGAAGATTCTTATGGAAGGTAATTCGTTAACCGAGGGATCACTGTATCAGTGTTATTTTAATGTATGACCACGGACATGCATAGTGTATCGGTGTCAGCATAAACCGGGATAGTGCTAGACATTTCTTATGAACTGTAGTGTCAGTCGCGTTCACGTTCTGTGGTGGTAGCGTTGGCAGTGGCAGCCACACAGTGCGGCAGCTCTCGCTCACTGGGCGTAACTGAAGCACCTGTTCAAAGTATCGAATCATACCTGAGACAATTCTCTCTATTTCTATCTCTATTTTCTCTCGGCTACAGAACAAGCATTAAAATCGAGGCAATAAGCCCCAGGTTTCATCATCAAGGCATAAAGTGTCCCCTAATATCACAATAAATATTAATATTCACAAATTGTTGATATCCTACCAAACATGAGTGTCGGTGCACTTGTCCCTACCCTGCCCCCAACTCCCCTGAGTCCCCTACCCTTTATGTGATATCACCTTGCCACTCTGTCACCGACCAGTACAGTAGACATAAAATTAGAGCCTATTATATTACACATTGTATTCTTTGTTACACTACAGCCATACAGAAAATGCTTTGTATTTAAAGATAGAGGATGACTTCTAATTTACTACCCTTATTCTGGTTGCTATAGCGGGGGTAACTGCAAATACTGCTCGCTTTCCAATGACGTAAACAAACACAGTGGTGCCAAATTTCACAAAACACACCAGTAGCCTTACAAGTCCTAATTCTTCACTAACCTAAAATGAAACCAAAAGATGCATTGTAGAATGAAGAAATTACACAAAAGTTCCTTAAAATAATGCATATCTTGTATTTTACCTAGTCTAAATACTGAAGCAAGCAAATGCAATGCTGGAATATAAATTTATTTACAAATAAAGAGCATTACACAGTAGCAACTATCTGAGGAAGTACGAAATGTTCTCTCTTAAAGGGGTTAGACTTTTCTGGGCCCATATCTAGTTTACTATGAGTGTCAAGATCCCTGTAAACCTTGCTGAGTGAATGTATCCCTGAAATTTCAGTACCAGTGTTCCGAACCTCTGAACATTTTACTCTGAGTGTTTTGGATCCTTAGAAATCCACCTCATAAAGCAGGTAGCCTTAAAACGATGGTTATCTATTGTCTACCCTTGGGTGCATGGATGGAATTGAAACATGTTTTTTTCTGTCTTTTCTATGTTCTACACCCAATTCAATTGAAAAGCGATCGTATGTCCAATAGTGCTGACAGGATATTAGAGACTTTGAATACAGCACACTCTATAATGTACTAAGCCTTCAGTACATAAGTTGACTGAGTGGCATGCACTGCATTTCACCACCATAAGCTGGGTGAACTGCTAGTGCTCTGGGATTAAATCATTGACCCTTAGAAAAGAATACAAATGCTGTATTCACTCAATTACCACACCCCATCATCTACAATTATTAGGGTATAAATATACAAACAAGCACCAATGCCCTTCATTCAATTCTTTAATACCTGTATATTGTATATATCTGTACAGTATTTCCAGCACTGTTCTTTATATGGTGGCCTCTTTCTGCTCACACCACAGTCTATGCTTGGGATCATTGACAAATCTTTTGATTGTATGACATGTAAGGCACGTCACAACTAAATGTTTTTGACGCCGGGACAGGTGTCGAACCCTTGCATTTACACCGAATACTAACACTATTCCACATCCCTTGCACAATGTCCGTTTAAGAGCTGGAGCCAAACGCATGACACACCGCCGACCTATGGCTGCTGCCAAAGAACCTGCCTGTGCTGCAATTACTTGCGAATCTGAAATGATAGTTGACTTGGTTCCCTTAGTTTTCATTGTCACCATAGCCCGTGATGCCTGGACGAGGTAGTTGATCCGTTCTTGGTTCTCACCAACTAAGTTCTTTTTCTGTTTCTTAATTTGTTGCTGTATATTTTGCTTCTGTTGCTGCAAGCTTGGTTTATTTTTCTGTTGCTCTTTTGTTCTATGTTGTTGTTCCACTATATTTGACTGCTTTATATGTTCATTTATCTTTGGCTGTAAATGGAGCTGCTGTTGCTCGACTGTTTGGCCCTGCTGTCCTGGGTGGTCTCGCTGTTTAACACTCTGATGCTGCTGTTCTGTTTGCTGTTGCTGCTGTTCAGGTGACTGGTACTTGTCTACTTGCTTCTTTTGTTGTTCTTGAAGTTGATGCTGCTGGCTGAGTGGTATATGCTGCTGTGAGTCTCGACACTTCTGCTGTTCTAGTATTTGCTCTTGTTGTTCATGTAGCAGCTGCTGTTTTTGTGGTAGGTGCTTCTGTTCTGATGTTTTGTCCTGCAGGTCTAACAGCTGGTGATGTTCTGGTTGGTGCTGGTGTCCGAGTGGCTGATGCTCTTCTTGGGATTTTCTAAGCTGTTCTATTGGCTTGGATTGTTTGTGATCTTGGCACAGCTGCTCCAGTGTACAGTGTTTCTCCTCCGAGTCTTCTCCCATTTCCAGTTGCTCAGACATCTCTTCACCAACACCAAAAACTTGACTATCAGTATTTCCAATATTCATTGTTTCTACCACTTGTCACGATACTGTACTGTATTTCTGAAAAGACAAAATACAGAATTGTTAAATACTCTGGAAATCAAATTGCTTAAGATGTTAAAGAACACAGCACCTGATATATATATATATATATATATTACATTAAAACTGTATGCATACCAAAGACTTTTAATGGCATGCTGTATTTTGCCCTATTTTATGTTTACTGTACAGTATTTTTTTTTTCAAGCACTGATACTTCATTCAAAATACTGTACAGATACTGTAATACAGGTACAGTACTATAATAACTGGCACTTAACAAACACAGGTAACCCTATAACATTGGGCACTTAGCAAATTCAGGTAACACTGCAATATCTGGCACTTAACAAATACAGGTACAGTAACACTGCAATATCTGGCATTTAACACATACAGGTACAGTAACACTGCAATATCTGGCACTTAGCAAGTACAGGTAACACTGCAATATCTGGCACTTAACAAATACAGGTACAGTAACACTATAATATCTGGCACTTAGCAAGTACAGGTAACACTGCAATATCTGGCACTTAACATATACAGCCACTCCTCGACTTACGACGGGGTTAGGGACCCAAATCCAGGTCGTAAGTCGAAAATGCGAAAATAATACATAGAAAATCTAAAATGGGTGTCCCTTTTTCTTCTCAGCACCACAAAATTCTCACTTTTAAGCTTGCCAGCCATTTTAAAGAGAATTACAAACGAAAATTGTGTCAGTACACAGCACAATCACCAATGTCGGGACTCGAAAATACGCAATTTGAAAAAAAAAAATGATACGACTGGGGCGGTCGTATGTCCGGGTGGTCGTAAGTCGAGGAGTGGCTGTACAAGTATTACTATAATATCTGGCACTTCACAAATACAGGTACAGTAACACTATAATATCTGGCACTTCACAAGTACAGGTAACACTGCAATAACTGGCACTCAACATATACAGGTAATACTATAATATCTGCCACTTAACAAGTCAAAATTCTAAAAAAAAAAAAAAAAAAGGCAATTTTCAAGGACCCCTAGTACAAATTGATGGTTATAATAATATAATGTAACACAATCCTATTCAACATGTTGTGGAACACTCAAGCTTAAACATGATTGTGCACTCTGATGCTAATTGAAACTTACAATCTTAATACAGTACAGCATTTGTGAAAACTTATCTGAAAAAAATTGCACCTACAATACAATATACTGTATACAGTAAACCCTCAATAGCTCGGAATTTCATATAACTCAGCATGGATATGGTCTCGGAATGTATTAGTATAACTCGGGAAAAGCTGAGGTATGTAAAATTATCTGGGAAAATCTCGGCATATCTGGACACCTACCATGCCTCTGTGTCACCTACCATGTCTCTGTGTCACCTACCATGCATCTGTGTTACCTACTATGATGCTTTATTCTTTGCCTGCAGTGCTGGTAAGTGTTACATTTTTACATTTAGTAATTACATGTACTCATATGTGGGTTGATAATTTTTTATTGTATTTTTGTAGGAGGAGGGAAGTGCCTTGATAAGCTGGAATTTGGGATAATTCGGTTAGGCCAGAGTCCCATATGTGCCGAGTTATCGAGGGTTTATTGTGGTATTAAAACTCCTGTACTGTACTGTATACATTAAATAATGTCTAAATTACAAAAAAGTATCGTACAGTACTGTACTCCTATAAAGAACAAGTTCGTTTAACATAAACATCAACATATGGATTATGAAAATGTGCCGTGTTGCGTCTCTGTAAAAAAATTATGTCGCCATTTGGGCCTTCATTGTTGAGCTCCAGAAATTCATAAGATCATCAAGATCGTTTTGGTGACGTGGATGTATCATTCAGTAGAGCACATTTATTGTCATTTGCGATTAAAGATTGAAATATTCTTTTCTACTTGACTAGAGGTAAGCTGTATGGATGCAACCATAAAATAAATGCCATATGCCAAGATATACTGCATTTAAATAATCAAGGTACAGTACTGTCCTAACCTCCTGGTGGGTTATTTGTCGTAACACAACACAGAATTAAGTGTAAAATCCATAGCCATTGTGGTAAAGTGTTGATAAACTTAAAACTGAATCCCATCACCTTGCTACCACATATTAAAAATGTTTTACAGTGTATCAGAACATCCTTGACTTAACTATAATACTATACCCACTCTAACCTGGCCCAGAAGCCCCGCCCCTTGTCTATAACTTCAAATAGCTGATTGGTTCCCCTGAGTGTTTTACCTCACCCTAGACTGTGTGTATATAGGGACGTATTTATATCGACTTTTTATGATAAATATTAAAAATTTTCTAGCATCCTCTCTGAAGTGGTAATGCCTTGAAATCATTGGCATTTTGATAGTCCAGATATTTAACATTATTTTAGATAATAACAGGTCTGCTTACCAATTGTGAACACATTTAGTTTAAATTTTCTATGAATCAATCAGCTATTAGTATAGAAGAAGGGCATGGCTTATGGGCCAGGATAGTGTGGAAATACTATAATACATACAGTAATTCAATTGACTACAGTATTTAAAATTTCCCTGAAACACCCAACAAAGAAAATATACACGAGGACTTTAATAGTCCCAAGATGATTATGGCTGCCATTCACCAGCTGAATGTCATATACAGTGGTCCCTCGGTTAACGAGCACAATCCGTTCCAGCAGGTTGCTCGTTAACCGAAAAACTCGTTAACCGAAACCATTGTTTCAATGGGTTTTTGGGTAATTGGTTCCAACTCACCGAAAATTACATACAAACTAAAAATAATTGCAGTAAAGTACACTTACTTTGAGATGTGCATGTAAAAGGCTCCTGATTGATGATGATGATGATGGGAATTAGAATGGGGGTGGAGGAGAAGGGAGAAGAGAAGGCATTGGGGTGGAAGAGAAGTCACCCCATGGTGCCATTTCACCCATAAAATTTTAGTTCTCTTGGTGTATTTCAAGATTATTTTCTTTAAATCAACACTGCACTGCATTATATATTGTCAATATGTAAAATATATTTCAAAATGACCAATAATTTGCTTGGAAACACAGAAAAAAAGCGTTTAGTTGAAGAGAGTCTCAAGCAAGATGTTACCTCCACTGAAAACAGAGAGAGACTAACGCCTGTCTGGTGTGTTAACAGGCTGGATGGCACGCCAGAAACTAGTTTCTTTACCTTCAATTATGTTCAATAATTGTTAAAATGACTAAAAAAGTTAATATTAAACTTTTAAAATTATTGAATAGTATAAACTTCTTGATATTTACTAAAATAGTAAGGAATTTAAGCCCTAAAACCGATTACTGTATTGGCGGACTAATACTACAGCTGGTGGACCGCCAAATGCAAGCGAAAACATGTTGAAGTCGGCTCGTAAAAAACTCGTTAATCGAGGGATTGCTCGTTAACCGAATTTAAGAATCTTATGGGAGGCAGCTCGTTAACCGAAATCTCGTGAACCGAGGCGCTCGTTAACCGAGGGACCACTGTACTGTAAATACTTCAATTATTAAGTTACTACAGTATTGTAGGAAACAAGCAAAAATTATGAAAACCTGTACAGTGAAGTGTAGTGGTACGTAACCCTCAGATACTGTCACAATCGAAACAAAAATAGGGATTAATAGAGCATGGTGTGAGCAGGTTGAAATCTGGCTGGTTATTGCCCATAGCCAAAACAAACTTAGGTGAACTGGCACAGGGATATCAACCTTTCGGATTCAAAACCAGTACAGTATATCATACTACTAAAATTTTCCCAATTCAGATCTGCTTAGTAACTAAAAGTTACTAAAACAATTTAAAATAAACAAATCATTAACAAATATATTGTTCCTAATTTGAAATTTCTCTTAAATGAGGAAATTTTAACTTATCTAGCCTCATTAACCTAACCTAACCTGACCTGACCTGACCTAACTTAATCTAACCTTAATAAACAATGCATTGATACCCAACCCTAGCCACCTCCTTATCATGGGGGACTTTAACTATGGTGACACCAACTGGGGAATTGACTTTACACCAAATGACTTAAATAGCCCCACTACTCTTTTTGTCGAAACTTTGAGATATAATTTTCTGTTCCAACATGTTAAAGACCCGACGCATTACAGAGGGGAGCAAACACCCAAGCCACTGGACCTCATCATAACAAACGAGGAGGGTATGGTGGCCAAACTGGAACATCTAGCCCCAGTTGGCACCAGCCACCATGTAACGTTGTCATTCAGATTTAACTGTTACGTACTTAATTCACAACAAAACCAGGCCAAGGTGCAAATATTACAAGGGAAATTAGGACAGGATGACTCATTAAGGCATAAGAACGCAGACACTACGCTAAATATCATAGCAAGTAAAGTGAACCATTTGGTCAAGAAATATATACACAAGACCAAACCCAGTGCCTCTAGGAATACAAGGAGACCCCCTACACATAAACCATGTGTTGGTCGACAAAGTTAAGAAGAAAACCCAGAAATTCAAGGTGTGGGTTAGGTCAAACGATGAGCACGACAGGAGGATGTATGCAAGAGCCAGGAAACAAGCAAAGTCAGAGTATAAAAGGGCTGAAAAAGAGATTCAGAGGCTGGTTGCAAGAGAGGTTAAGTCAAACTCAAAGACATTTTACCACTAAGCAAAGTCAAAATTAAAAACGTGAGTAGGAGTATCGGACCTGAGGCTTGAAGATGGTAGTTACATGGATTCTGACCAGGACAAAGCTGAGGCATTGAACAGTTTCTTTCCTCGGTGTTCACAAGAGAGGATGCGATCAATCTTTCTGCGTTTGAGGACAGACAGTTCGAAACAGTGCTGACACACATTATGTTCACAGAAGAGGTTATAAGAAATAAATTGTCAAAGCTAAAGGTTCATAAGAGTCCCAGCCCTGACATAGTGTATCCCAGAGTGCTAAGAGAGCTGTGCAACGAGCTTGCTGAGCCCCTGAAGATCCTGTTTTGTAAATGCCTGGATGAACAAAAGGTTCCCAGTGACTAGTGAGCTGGTGAGCCTGACCAGCATAGTATGTAAAGTATTTGAGAGCATAATAAGAGATGCCATGATGGAACATATACTATGAAACAACCTTGTAAAGGTAGGTTTGTTTGGTTAGGTTGGTGAGATCTTCTAACAATGCTAATGTCACTTGTTTTTCTTATCAACTAAGGTTAGGTTAGGTTTAATTTAGAAATTACCACTTTTTAACAAATTTGCACAGACTACTAGTTTTGTTCATCCCTGTACAGTATTTAGATAACCTAACTATGATTTCTGACAGATATAAAGGTCCAAATCATTCAAAACACATGAAAAACCATCGGAAAATCCTAGTTTGGATATTTAACTTAACCTAATTCCAAAGATTCCCCAGATGACCCAAACTAAATTAATACCGATAAGAAAGCAAGGTAAATTTTAATTTTTAGCCAATAAGGCTGAGTTGAGCACTCAATGTATTTTTTCCAATGGTTTAGACAACTTTAATAAGACACTTTTCTTCTGTAATGTTTCCGTTGCAAATGCCTTCAATATACTGGGTGATCCAAGGGGGTGAAGCCCCCTAGTTAGGAGGTTAGGATTGGTAATTTTAGTTCAATTTGTGAAGGAAATTTCATTGCAGAAAAGTGTCTTAAAATTGTCTACCGGCAAACCATTGGAAAAACACATTGCTGAACTCGACAACCATATTGGTTGAAAATGCAAATTTACCAAAAACACTCATCTTCTAAAAAAAAGTTTTATCAGTTTACTGGTTAACATGCAATACTCTCTGCCACATTCACCATGTATTCTCTACAATTACACTGTCTGTGTACATTCTTTACCTGTGATGTATAACAATTTTACATGATAAATATTTATCATGTCAAACTGTACATAAATGAGTAGACCTTCTTTCTCAATTGACCCGATCTTCCTATTTCAAATAAACGGTTGACATGTAGAGTAATGCTGCCAATGATTCTAGCAAGAACACATTGCTTTTCCACCATAATTTTTGTTGTTAATTGCTAGTGACAGTGTTCTCTTTTGGGGAAGCGTTCCTTTTTTTTTAATTTATACAGTACTATAATACCGTTCGCGAGCCATGGGAGGGAAAGTATGTAGTGTGCGGATCGTCTGAATTGCATTACCATGCTATATAATACATGACCCAACTCTGAAAAAATAGCGTTTCCCCAATAGGGGAATACGTTACGTTAGGTTAAGTAAGAATAAGTTAAATACTGACAACATGATATAACCACACGGGGAGAGGGGGGGGGGATAGGTTAGGTTAGTGCTTCTTTTGAGTACATAAAAGCAGCAAAAACTTTTTTCCTGCATAAATTTTGCTGTTTTATTTACTGGACGATGTTAATTTCCCCGGCAAAGCTGAAATATATTTTTTTTATCATGCTTGGAAAACATTAGTTTTTTCCCCAGAAAAAAATATCTCCAATAAAAAAAAAAAATTGGGGTTAATATAAAGGACTAATGCGCTGATGCAGCTGTATCATTTCACGTCAAGAAAATGCCTCAAATTTCACCATATCATAGTAAGTTCTTTCTGTTTAATATACTGGGAAGTTAGGTAAGGTTAGGTAGGTTTATTTGGTTTGGTTGGTTAGGTCTGTTCTTCATAACCCACAAATGTTCAGTAACGTTTGTTTTAAAACTATTAATTTTTAACCTATTTCCACAAACTACAAGTGTCCACTATACGTTAATATAACAATGTAAGTTTTCAATCAATTTCGCTCCCGAGTTAGTCCTATATAATTACCGGTAAATTTGCATTGTCACACCATTCACTGTTAGAAAGTCAAGAGTATATTTTTCTAGTCCATTTGTGTGTTTAGACCGAATATGACCTTCATTTCTGGCGGAAATTAGCCGAGTTTTTTTTTTTTTTTAGATTTTTTTCGTTGGACGTTTTCCGAAAACAAATCATGGCAAAATACACCAAAAAAAAAACACCAGAAAAAAAAACCTAACCTAACCTAACTGACTCTCACCATATGATGACCTATTTCTTACCTTATTGGCCTGGTTCTTGTTCGTCGTTGCATTCTGGGATTCTCACCCAACGCCACACATGCTGTAGTTTCTCCGTTTCTTCCCCAACACTCTCAATCAGCTCCATATACTTTAAGTGACACCCATCACAGACTTCCATGGTCAGAACTGAACTTGAATTTCAAAACATGAGACCCAAAATAAAACTCGAATTGGATTGGGCCAAATATACTGCGAATTAAACCCAAAATCATTTTAATTGGTTTCAAAAGCAAAAACGCTTTTGATTAGCTGCGTGACGTGTACAGCAACACATGAGCAGGATGATTGATGAAGGAGACACAGTGTGGGAGGTGAGGCAGACGATAATGGAGGAAGATTAATGGAAGAAAATAGAGAAAATTTTGGATGTGCTATCTCCGTTATTATACATTTCCGCCGGTAATGTAATAGATGAAAATTATCTTATAATTAGACGTCTTATTCGAATATGATAATAGATTAGTGGTAGGAATGAACGGTGTGTAAACGCAATAATGCCTAATTACCAATAAATGATGATTACCAGCACAATTTCATGGGTGTCCAACAAAGTAGTGGTGGATGAGATTGAAACATGATATTCACTAGATGTTTACATTTTACAATTACAGGTTCAAATGGTCGCTTAGTTAACAATGTCTTTACAAACGTTTTCTTTGATGAGGGAAACATTATTATATACTTTGGGGGGGGGGGGGAGCACTGATATAAATGTTATCTATTTACTCATAATCGCATTAAAAGCTCATATGCGTTCATGTAAAACAGCAGTGCAGGACTACAAATAATGATAGAGAGAAAGTTGATTAACAAAGTATGCTTCAAGAAACCTGTTAAAGCTTACTTTTATTGGCTCAAAGTATTTCCCTTATGGCCACCCACTATAGGAGACTAGTGGCCTGTGTAAGATCCCTCCACTGTTGTTGATAATATTTTACTTTTACTTACTTTACTTTTATTCTCTTCACCACTGATCGGTTCATTAGCCGCTTGGGCGATCGGTCACGTCTCTGTCACGCACTGTTGGCAAGTACTGGGCATGCACCGGCTCCTGAATGTACCTGAACCTGCTCCAGTGTTGGTCAAGTCTGGTTTTGAAAGAGCTCACACTCGGTGCCGTCACAACACTCTCTGGTAGATTGTTCCAAGAGTTCACAACCCTCACTCCGAAAAAGTTTGCCCTCACAGTTTTCTGGACCTGCAGCTTCTTCAATCTTGAGCTGTGACCCCTTGTGGGGCGAGCGTCCGCCAGCTCCAAGTAAGGACACTGGACTGAGTAGTGCCCCCTGAGTTGCTTATACTCACAGATACTCACAGATGATCTTCTGGAAGAGGCTCACGCCTGTGACTCCAGCTCAATAGCCTCTTCTCTACTCAGACGGTGGCTGCGTGTGGCGAATATTTGTGCCCTATAATTATATACTTGTTGATTTTTCCAGTATTTATCTAATTTTGCTTCAAACTTTTCCACCGTCTCCACATTCACTACCCACTCAGGTAACCCATTCCAGTTGTTGACAACCCTACTCGGGAACGAGTGTCTTCTGAGATTTAGCCTCGCTCTTGTTTTGTAGATCTTCTTTGTGTTCCCCCGGGTAGTGTCAGCCTCCCTCATCTGGAACATTCCTGCTGTACATGCCTGGTCATATATCCCACACACTATCTTGTATGTTTCCACTTGGTCCCCACGAGATCTTCTGTACGCTAGTGTCTTTTACTTTTTTACTTTTATCCTCTTCGCCACTGATCGGCTTGTTAGCCGCTTGGGCGATCGGTCACGTCTCTTTTCATTTATATTCTTCACCAAAAGATCGGCTCGCTAGCCGCCCGGGCGATCGGTCACGTCTCTGTCACGCACTGTTGGCAAATACTGGGCATGCACCGGCTCCTGAATGTACCTGAACCCGCTCCAGTGTTGGTCAAGTCTTGTCTTGAAAGAGCTCACACTCAGTGCCGTCACAACACTCTCTGGTAGATTGTTCCAAGAGTTTACAACCCTCACTCCGAAAAAGTTTGCCCTCACGGTTTTCTGGACTTGCGGCTTCTTCAATCTTGAGCTGTGACCCCTTGTGGGGCGAGCGTCCGCCAGCTCCAAGTAAGGACACTCAACTGAGTAGTGCCCCCTGAGATGCTTATAAACCTCAACTAGGTCCCCCCTTGCCCGTCTGTAGTATAAGCTAGGCAAGTTCAGGCGCTCCAATCTCTCAGGGTAGCTGAGGTGCCGAAGTGCAGGCACCAGTTTGGTGGCCCTCCTTTGAACATTTTCAACCAACTGACAGTCCCTAGCATATCTCGGGGACCAGATGGGGTGACAGTACTCCAGATGGGGAAGCACTTCACTCCTGAAGATCGTCACGAGGGACGGACCGTCTAGATATCTGAACGACCTTCTTATAAGACCCAATAATTTATTTGCCTGATTTACCTTCTTCTCACAATGGCCCGAGAACTTCAGCTCATTGTCAACATACACACCTAGGTCCTTCTCACACACAGTCTCAACTAGTACATTTTCTTCATCCCGTTGGGACATATGGTACGCCTCCTTACCGTTGGTACGCCCCAGGTGCATCCTCTTACACTTCGTGACATTGAATCTCAGCAGCCATTCCTTCGACCATTCCTGGAGCCCACAGAGGTCCTTCTGCAGCTCTTCACAGTCCGCTTGGTTCTTAATTTCCCGAAATAACTTGCCATCATCGGCAAACATTTGTATGGAGGAGTGTACAACGTCAGGCATATCGTTTATGAAACAAACAAACAACAGCGGGCCCAATACACTACCCTGCGGTACCCCACTTGTTACAGGTACAGATGACGATTTCGTGCCATTAATCACCACACATTGCTTGCGGTCATGTAGAAAGTCTTCTATCCACGCTAGGACATTTCCCCGAATTCCGTACCCTTCCAGTTTGATTTTCAGCCTTTCGTGGGGTACACTGTCAAAAGCCTTGGCAAAATCTAGGTAAATATTGTCGATATTACCACCCCGTTCTAGAATATGGGTCCAAATATCCAATACCTTGAGCAATTGTGTCAAGCAAGAGCGCCCCGGCATAAAACCGTGTTGGCAATCTTTTACAAGGTTGTTTCGTAGTAGATGTTCCATCGCGGCATCTCTGATAATACTGTCGGTAACTGTAATTTCCTTAGTCTTTCATCATAAGATAAATCCTTGATCTGTGGTACTAGTTTGGTCGCCTTCCTCTGTACATTCTCTACTGCTTCAATATCCTTAATGAGATATGGGCACCAAATTTGATTAGCATACTCAAGGTGTGGCCTAACCAGAGCAGTGTACAGAGCCTTGAATATAGGTGCATCCAGATGAACAAAAGTTCTTCAAATAATGCCCACTATTTTATTAGCCTTGTTGATTTTCTCAGCTAGATGGTCAGAGAACGACAGCTTATCATCGATGACTACCCCTATATCCTTCTCCACAGTGGTCTTCTTGATCGTGGTGTACATATGATATCCATGGTCAGCAACTTTTGTTCTTCCTATCCTCATGTATTTACTTTTTTCTGGGTGAAAGTTCAGCATCCACTTCTCAATCTAACCCCTGATCCCATCCAGGTCCTCCTGCAGCATGTCACAATCCTCATCTCGTTCTATTTTCCTAAAATTCTTTGTGTCATCCGCATATAGATAAACCTCACTGTCGTGTTTAATTGCCTCAGGCAGGTCATTGATAAAAAGGACAAACAGCAGGGGGCCGAGGACAGAACCCTGAGGGACCCCACTAGTGATCTCTCTCCAGTCAGATTCTTCTCCATTTACCACAACCCTCTGTTTTCTCTTAGTTAAAAAATTCCTTACCCAATCAAGATATTTTCCATCAATGCGATAACTAGATACTTTTTCTAATAGTCTTTTGTGGGGTACTCTATCAAAAGCCTTCATGAAGTCACAATACACTATGTCCACAGCCTGACTGTCGTCGATAATTTCCGTCCACCTGTCTAGTACCCTAATCAACTGTAGGACTGTTGACCTACCGGAAATGAAGCCAAACTGTTTATTACTAAATAATCCATATTTTTTCATATGGGATATCATCTCTTCCCATAATATTGACTACATTAATTTGCAGATTACACTAGTTAGACTGACTGGCCTGTAGTTTCCTGGTTCACTTTTACTTCCCTTCTTATAGATAGCTGTGATATATGCAATACGCCAGTCCTTAGGTATATCTCCTTCTTGAAAAGAGCTTTCAAACAAGATCCTCAGAGGCTGAAGTAGTTACTCCATCATCTCCTTAATGACTCTTGGATGCAACCTCAATTAGGTCACCCCTTGTCCGTCTGTGGTATAAGCTAGGCAAGTTCAGGCGCTCCAATCTCTCAGGGTAGTTGAGGTGCCGAAGTGCAGGCACCAGTCTGGTGGCTCTCCTTTGAACATTTTTCAACCAATTGACAGTCCTTAGCATATCTCGGGGACGAGACGGGGTGACAGCACTTCATTCTTGAAGATCGTTACAAGGGACGGACCGTCTAGATATCTGAACGACCTTATTATAAGACCCAATAATTTAATTGCCTGATTTACCTTCTTCTCGCAATGGCCCAAAAACTTCAGCTCATTGTCAACATACACACCTAGGTCCTTCTCACATTCAGTCTCAAATAGTGCTTTGTTTGGTAGATAATTATGCGACTAGGTACGCACTACATTGTCTGGTACACACTACTTTGTCTCTCTTGGCATGATGTGGCAGTACAGAGCCAATCATCTTCAATCAACGCCAGCGTATGTTTAAGAGCCGCACGGATTGGGTTGCTGGTCTCACATTCCCCCCCCCCCCAAAAAAAAAGTTAAATTACACCATATAATAGTAAGTTCTTTCTGTTTAATATGTCCGGGGGGACCAGAGGGTTGAGCCTCATGGCTAGGAAGTTAGGTAAGGCTAGGTAGGTTTTTTTGGTTAGGTTGGTAAGGTCTTCTGATAACGCTTCTGCCACTTCTTTTTCTTGTTAACTAAGGTTGGTTTGGGTTCATTTAGAAATAAACACCTCTTAACACATTTGCCATAACTACGACAGTGCCCAGTATAAAACACAGTGAAATTGCGGCGTTTTCAAATTAGTTTTCTATGAAAAATCAGCAGCTGTGAAGTAGTAAATAATTACTTTTTACTGGGCCAGCATAGTGTGTAAAGTATTTTAGAGCATTATAAGAGATGCCATGATGGAGCATCTACTATGAAACAACCTTGTAAAGGATTGCCAACTTGGTTTTATGCCGGGATACTCCAGTAACATGACAAGTTGAAATTTCAGAATATTTGTGATGAGGCCCTGAAATTATCAGCTCCCATTCAAGACGTGAGGAGGCTAGGGCAAAGACAGGACAAGCCCTGCCCCCTCAGGATCACACTTGTGAGTGAGAATAAAAAATGAGAAGTTATTTAGCATGCAAAAAACTTAGCAAGGAGCGATACATTTCGGGATATAGTCATAAACCCACAGTGCACGGTAATGGAGAGGGATGAGCACAAAAAACTCCTGGAGTCTTTGAAGCAGAGGAGGAAGGAGTCAATGAGGAGCCAGGATGGACGTACTTGGGTTATATACAAGGGGCGAGTAGTGTGAGCAAGAACGCCAGC